CTGTTAACTTTTAAGAATAACCAACTTAAAACTCGAAACTTGTATATGTCGTCAATCCTAAAATTTCAGTATATTGATAAAAAATGTATAGAAATTGACTGTAAAAAAAGATTTTGCAATACTAACACTATATTATTATATTATATATAATATTTAGCTTATGAGAGAAATTTTCTCCTTCAATTACAATATTTCATTTTTCATGTTGGCAACCCTGTAACCGTTGGTTAAAGTTAACCGACGTTGGAAAAAGTGGCCTTTAGACAACTAAAAGACAACTAAAAAATGTTTAAAAAATTTTAGACATCTTTCAGATGTCTTTAAGCATTTGTGCTGCTGGATAGGTATATACATATATATATATATATATCTCGGTGTTCTATTTTAACTTAGACAACGTAATATCTCCAAAACAATGTGTTATAAAAAAAAATGTTTTATATAAAAGTTGTAGGGTTTAGAGGAAGAAAAAAGATAAGCGTATTAGTTTGACCTTGGGTGGAGGTGCTTCAGAGATTTTCATCATTTTCTTAAATAAAACTATCCTAATTTTTTTATATAAATCGATTGCTCGCAATATTCGTCATAAAAGTTATAAGGATAGAATGGTCAAAAATTGAATGGTTTACGAGATTTTATACTTTAATTTGACATAATTTTACACAAACTATGAAATATCTCTTTAAATATTCATTTTTTTCAATTATCTTATCTCAACACTTTTATGCACGAAATAATGAGAGGAATCAATTGGTATAAAAAAAACACATAGTTGTCTTGAAGAAAAAATATGTATTATAGTTAAAATGAAATCATATATATATATGGATGTATTATTTTTTATTAATTCCGTGAGAAAAAATACATTTTCTTCGCGCATTGATAAAAGAAAAAAAAAACGTTTTGTTGAACGTTTTTTAAACGTTTTTGTCGGAAAAATAACGTTTCTCTTAATTCTTTAAATTAACATTTTAACCAATGAGAAACGTTTATAAGAACTGTTATGAAACGTTCTGAAATGAACATGTGCTATCTGGCAACTCTCATTTTTTTAAAAAGGTATACTTAAGAATAATGTTTTAATTTTGAAAAGTATACATAAAACATCTACTCATTTATAATAAGCCCCTACCCCCTCCCCCCTCTCTCTTTTTCTCTCTCTCTCTGCGTGTATATGTAAAAAAAAAGAAAAATAAGTATATGTTACATGTGTCATGATAAGAAAATTGTATGACTCAAAAAATTAAACATTATATCAGTTCAGAAGCTTTCTTGAAATTTGATAGTGTGAATGCTTTTTCTAAATTAAATTACTTATTTTTTCGAATAATATATGTTAACTGACATAACATGAATTCAACGATTTATATGATTTTAAACAGGAAAATTGAATATAATTTCTTGTATTAGATACTTCAAAATGCAATAATTATATGTACTAAACATTGGTAACTTTATTTTTTAACATGGTAACAATTTGAACAGTAAAAACAATGTTAAATCTACATATTATTTATATATGTTTGCTATCGTAAATTTTGTTCTCTATAATTGATTAATCAGAAAATTATTTTATATAAAAAAAATTAAAATATTAGTTTAGAGAGAGAGAG